TAATTTATCTCAAAACCCAGCATTTTAATTTCTCAGAAACGATCATTGCGGGAAAATTGTGTGCTGGGACTAAGATTTTTTAAGGATCGATGCGATAAAACGATAGTTCGAGGAACGATAGAAGCGGGAAAATGTAACATTATTTTATATGGGATGTATTCGGGACCGAACAAAACGGACGATGCATCCGGGAAAACGATAGTTCCGGGAACGATGGATAGAGGTTTCACTGTATACCAGCTCTGGAGCCCACCAGCTTCCTGTCCAATGGGTACCAGGCTCTTTCCTGGAGATGAGGCACTGCCAGGGTGTGATGCTGACCACTTACCCCTATCTAGTGGCAAGGTTAAGAATGAGTAGGAGCTATATCTTCTCTACCCCCCATGGCATATAGTGGGACAGCTTTGCTTTTACTTATAGTACTTAAGTACATTTGCACCACTTGTTTACCTTTTATCACTTCTGACAATTTACATTAAATTCACAGCTTATCTAAGCATCTTCAATGTTGTACTCTTATCTGTTAACCAACTTTTGATTTATTTATTAAAAACTTAATTGGAAACTTGTGAGTGTTATTCACTTGCTGTTAAACACCTTGTGAAGCCCCAGTATTTCACTTGTTTCAGTATGATGTTTATACCATGAAAATTAATTATATTTACTGATAAAATACAGCTGAAAATTATATTGTAGGTATGAAATTGATATGATTTCATCATGGATTCGGCAGCCTGTTTTGTTCAGTATGTAAATGATTGAGTCTATGAGAAGGAGTAAATAAAATGAACAAGCCTCATGTAGTGATTATCAGTAGATACTCAGAATTATGAATGATCCACTGATAATATTTATTTGGGATTAACATTTGTATGTTTATACCATGTAAAGGATGAAGTACATTTATTAGACATAATTTTAATTATTATTTCTATAATGGGACACACAGTGTGTATGCAACAATAGGTGTTAATCACATTCATGCACATTGAACCTGCATGCAAGGAATCTTCCACCACTGACAGTCTGGTGGTCAGAGGGACACCAGATTTTAGTATAGCAACCCTGCCTAGAACAGCTTGGATTAAATAGAAACCAGTTTTTATTTGAGAATTTCTTAGGGTATGAGAATGTAGAAGTGGGAAAGCTGTTTCCTTTAGGCAGCCATTTTCTTTCCACACTGTACTTGCTGTTAAAATTGCTAATAGAATAAGTTCTTTAGTTGTAGACATTTTGTCTGTGGTTGATATTACTGTTTACTGCACCTGTGAAGTCATGAAATGAGCTGTTAAGACTGACAAGTAAATTCCTTGAAGGCAATATCTTAATTCTCTTTAAACTGTGCAATGCCTGCCTGTACAATTCAAACTGAACATGTGTAGGTCTCTTAAGATATTGTAGGTTTAACTCCAGATAAACAGAATTCTCATAAAATGCAGACTAGCATGAATATGTTTGTTTCTTGATTGGAGTGGTCTAAAACTACTTGCAACTGATTTATCTCTGTCATGTGTGTGGCAGAGTGTAATCTAGTCATTTTAAACAAAAGCAAAATTGCTTTAATAATATTAAGACATTTTTTTATATTAGCTTTATGATTTCTCTTTCAATACAATTTATAATATTTCTGTAATTCCTATAGTGTATTATGATATTTAATATCTTTCACACTGTAACATTTTTACCTTAAGTTTATTTGTAGCACTAAATGCTCTTGCATGTATCCTGTAAATTTTCAGTGTGGACAGAACAGAACACAGTAAAACCTCATTAATCAGACCTTTCATCTGAATAATCTATTAATCTAAGGATTTGTGTTTTACAGTAGTGAAGTCATTATCATCATTGAATTGTTTCTTACAAGTCTTAGAGTTATAAATTATTTTAAATCTTGGTATAAAAGTATCTTTAGATCACCTTGAATTGCAGGAATTAATATTGCCATTTGATGTGCCATGAAGTATAAACAATGGTGTGTGATTTTAAGTGCCTCTTAAGTTAGAGTTGTAAGTTAAATTTATGTGTATTGATATGTTGCTCTTTAGGTACAGTAGTTACTGAACATGATGGAATGTATCTCATATAAAGTTTGAAATTAATAATATATTTATTTCTGGTCTTCATGCTGCTCATAATAAGTCATTATTGAAAGCTGTGTTAATTTGGTTAATGTGCAGTGTGTCAAGTGTGGCTTCATGTCCATAGGATTTTGCAGCAGGGGTTCGATGTACAACTTCAGATTTCAGGGATGAGCTATGTCAAATGTAGTAAATTATTCAAGGTTTAATCAAACATTGTAGTTGTCACCCTAAGGGTGAATATGTAATGGCTTGTCATTTTTGGAAGTGATGTGTAGGGCAGGCAATAGGTGGCGAGTTGGATTTGAAGGTGGAGCGGAAGAGCAGGCTGCGAAACGTAAACTGTATTTGAGCTATTGCGCATTTTGTATGGCATACGATCACATGAGATCCGTGGTGTATACGTGCTAATAAGTAGGAGTGTTATTTTGCCATGGTTATTCGACTAGCGATTGTAGGCGAAAGTCTGTGGAACACGATAACCACTGCTGCGAATATCGTACGGCATTTGTTAATATTTGTAGTAGGTTCGTACCAATCTTTCTTGTAAGAATTTTCATTTGTGGAATTGTAGAAGTAGGAAAACAGTTGTAGCAGGTGGGACTGGAACATCTAATTAAATACGAAATAGGGACGTAAACATATAGTATAGATTTTACAAAATAAATTAGGCCAGTTAACGTACATACCTAAACAGCAAAGATGGCTGCAAATTTGGATGAAGAGCAGAGCTTGCGTGAATGCGAAGCGTATGTTCAGAGACATAATATTCAACAAGTTTTGAAAGATTGTATCGTGCAGCTGTGTGTGAGCAGACCTGAAAATCCCATTTCATTTCTGAGGGAGTACTTCCAGAAATTGGAAAGGGTGAGTATCTACACATAATTTCAGTACTATGTGAGATTTGAGGTTTTCGCAGCGGGGAGGATGATATTCTAGGTTTGGGCGCCTTGTAGAAACCGTCTTCAGCCCGGAATATGGAGACATTGCTTTTACGAAACGTTGGCATCTACAGGCGAGTCTACATAGCGACAAAAACCTAGAAGAACATCAATTCCAGTACTGATTTTTTCTTTTTGGATGTCCTCTTTCACTGCACTCCATTCGAGCTACATAATGCCGAAGAATTGTTTGTAGATTGTTATCAATCAACATGTACCTACAGGTTGTGGGTAAACAATTACAGGGTAAAATGGCTAGGAAATATACTATTGTATGATTATTTTGTTTAATACGTTTTGGTGAGGCCTTGGTATCCTTTGAAGGAACAGATTGCACTATATGTATCCAAGAAGTATTACTTGAGAATATGAGGTTGGGACATGTTTTTTTATGTTTCAATTTTAGTGGATTTTTGCAGGCTATAGCACAAATTGTTGAGTTTCCCTTGTGTTCCATTTTATAAAGAAAGACAACAAGAAGTTGACAGATTTTCTTGAAATTTGATCTAAACATGATACTAGAGGTTGTCCCATCTTTGGAACTTCATAATTTATGGTCATGAGCAAGATCAAGTGGCATCTGTGTGAACTTAAGAAGTGCATGACAGTAGGGGAAATATAGAGTATTAAAATCTAAAGTCATCAAGAAACTTGGAAGTTCTGGCCAGTATATGGCCACTACTTGTCAGATAGCAATAATTAATGTGTCATTACAGTTAGGCTTGTCAGGTTTTGTATGGTAATATGAATAATGTGTATACCTTCAATTTTTTAAGAATTTATTTTTAATTTTTTGTTCAGTATTAAAAACATGTCAATAGTGAGGACCTTAAGATAGTGAGTGACAAATTGTCAGGTAGTGGGGATCTTTACCATTGAAAATTATGTACAGAATTATGACCAGTCTTTACTTCCTGATATCACATATTTTTTGTTTGAATATTGTCCCTTTGGACTTCATATTTGTACTTATTTATGATGTTTTGGAGGGAAGTGGTCACCCTACTTTGGCTTTCTCTACAGCAATAATTCTTACATCTTGTTGTTCATTTGTGGTTCTCAGGGATTCTGTAAATGAATTTCTGCAATAATAGTTCTTATTATGAACTCCAGTCTAAAATTTTATCTCTTTTTAAGTTACCATTTTGAAGACAGTTATCTCTAATTTTCTTACATTCTTCCTTAGGAAGATGGCACTTCTTGAATGCACACCCCTTTTAATATACTTACTTCATAAGGAAAGGCTAATAGTATCATCATATGTATGTTAACTGTATCCATAACCTAATGACTTTTGAATCAGTTAAGGAATTTCCTTGAAACCTGATGAACATCATGTCACTAGATTCCTCTACATCTGTATATATTACTATTCTGCTGTTGGTAATAAACTTGGTGGCCATGTGGTCTTCAAGGTGGTAGCAACAGTAGTGCTTCTAATTGTAGGGCCCTGAAATGTTGTGTGATAGAAATAAACCAAGAACTGGTGGTACATGCCTGGGAGAGGGAGGAAGGGAAGTGAATGGTGTTGGACAACCCATAGCAATGAGTGGAGGCATGACAGTATCCTTCTGTTATGTTCTTAGTTTCTATAGGATGTCACTTAATGAAGGTGAGGTAATTTGTGGTCTACTTCAAAACATGCTAATTTATAAGAATATATGCGTGTGAACATATCTGTAGTTGAAAGGATCACAGTGAAGAATATTTTTTTGGATTGCATTGTTCTGGCTGACTGGATCAAACTGCAGGGCATGTAGGCTAGATCACAACTGAGCCAATGCTCCTGCAACAGCACTACTTTGATGAGTTCATTTTAAAATGGTTTTCCACATAGCCATTAGCCAAAAGTTCCTGGATTAGATTTTTAGAAATGTTCAACCTTTGTTACATTTGTTTGGTGGTGGTTCCCCTTCTTAATTTTTTGAAACAACTAGGTAAAATGGCCATGTAGCTTTTGGTTTGATGATGATTAATGAATTGTGAACTAGGCATGTGGAACTTTGTATGGAGATATAAATATACCTACAAATTCTGTAAGAATTTTTTATACATGCGACATTGGCCATCAGATCAAGCTACTCGTTAAAGTTGGACGTTGATGGTGATGTAGCATTTCGTTCATATTGAATAAAAGGAAAAGAGCCAAATTCAAAAAGCATGCCAATAGAAAAACTAATTCTGCCATTAACCACCTTTGCATGAAATACTGAGGATGAGATTACTGCTGGGTACAAACGACTGGAAATTCATTCAGTGAATTATTTCTCAGCCAGTAGTAGGCTAATTTAAACACACAAGCATGTATCTTTCCATCCATGTTTACAATCTGACCTCGTGGCCAAGACTGTATCATCAGAGTAAGTAAAATAAGGATTTGATAAGTTGCAGTATTGACAATTTAATTACCTATACTCATTGCGTAATTAATTGTATTTATGTTGTTGCAGCTCAAAATAATTTCCCTCTATTTTTCCACCATGGTTGTTACTGTGTCTAATTTTCCCGATTGTTGGTGTATGGTACCGTCACAGTATGTGAACAGTCTTTCATTAGAGTTGAATGGGCGCCTAACCGAACAGGCGTTTTGCTTGTAGTGTAGTCTGTTTTGATTTCCTAAACTACTAAACGTGTTTCGGTACATGAGCTAAAATCGCCGCAAAGTTTCCATATAAACATAGGTAATTGTAAGGTCTTCAATGGAGCATGTACCAGACAGCTCAACTCCATCAATTGCCATGGTTAAGAATGAGTGGAGCGCTATTTCCATGCCATCGGTACACGTTCAGGAAATTGGGCATAGGTATGGGAACAGCTTATACCTTTATATGGAGTGTGTGTTAAATGACACTTGCACTACAACATTTACCTTTGTCTTTAATGTTAAATAGTTGGGCCAGCTGTAGATAGCAATCTGCAATAACTGAGCATTACATTTATAAACGAGGTTGGAATTAGGAGGAGAAGGAAGTCATTAGCTGGTTTTGTCCAGTCTACAGAGCAACATGGGTATATAGTATAATGGTTCTACCAGTTTTATGTCATTTTTAGAGAAAGTTCACCTAGAAGGATGAATCAAGTATAGTGACAATCTTTGCATGTTAGGTAGCAAGCAATGTCTTTATTTACACGGTTCCTGGGTAGTTAGGGTTGTGAAATAAATGTTACGATGAACTGGACATGTAGATCGGTTGGAGAATATAAGAAATTCGTACAGAATTAACCTGGGAGGTGACCACAGTGGTAAGGTAACATAAAGATTGGTATTTTGATTTTGAGAATGGGACTGGCTTAGTATCATGTCCAGTGGCCGTATTTGGTTGTACGGGGTGTTGAGAACCTTTGGGTTGTTAGGGATTTTATTAGTTCTGCCATCAGAGTGATTGAACTTCAGGACTGTAGTACGTGTTAAGATTTAAAATAGCAAAGAATTCCAGCTTGTGTTATGTATGGGAATGTATTCTTTCACTGGGTGAAATATTCTATGAAAGTTCACAAGAATTTTCTGAAGAAAATGAGTTTCTGTTTGTGTCAGTTCCCCCAACCCCCGGTTGATGTACGGTATCGGCTATGCAGGACTTTTCCTGTAATACTGGGCAACAACTTTTTACTTGTAAATAACATGGATGAAGTATTTTTTACTAAATCTGGTAAGGTGATGAAAATAACAGTAAAAAGTTGTAAGTTCTCATAATTCTGGTAACCATTGTCCAGAATTCATAATTTCTTAATGTGAGGGAATTGGATGAGGTTAAGAGTGGGAGGGTTTTTTTCTAAACTTGGCGTAGATTTTGAATTTATGAAAAATAATAGCCACTACTGCACAGCTGACGTAAGGATTACACCACAATGACTATCATCTCAGAACCTCGTAATGTGTCGCATGAAGGTAACGTCGGCCTGTGAGTAGGGGTACTTAAGACGTATTCCATCTTACGTCTTGTAGTCCATGTTGCTAAGTAACTGGACAGACTGACATACATACAGACGATGAAACCGGGTGCCGGAAATATAGTTTTGTTTTGGTACAGAAGGTATCGGTATGAAGGTCGATAATGTGTGACCGAGCTGGAGCCTGTGCCTCTCTCTCGCCCTGTGTGCCCTTTTCGATGTGGAAATTCGGCGCAGTCTGACGTCAGCAAAAGGGGCATCCCCTCATCCCCCGTTGCTAGGCAACCGTATATTTCGTCAATTGGTGTACAGGAGCAGACGCCGTGTATCAAAACTCGGGTGGTGGAGTGAGATTATCCCCCGGTTTAAGTGAAGATTTCATCAGTTGTTACATTTCGGAAATCTAGAATAGGCGACACGCTTGCGCGTGCGTGTTGCATATAGAGATGTGTTGACGTAACAAAGGTCTTCAGGTGCTGTCACGCGTCTATATATCTTTAATATTGACCGAGGTGCAGTTAGGTCAGTACAGAGGGTCAAGGTTGACGTTGACAACTTTCGAGGGAGTTTAAATATGATGCTAATGCTGGTGGTAAGTAGATCAAACTTCCTCCCGATACGTTCACTTTCAGTAGGCTTAAAACCAGCATGTTATGAAATGTTACATAGGGCCCTTGACTTCGAAAAATGCCTTGGAACGACCAAAACAACGGAAATTGGGTATTAGATTTTACAGGAAATTTCGTGTTACAAGGTTCTGAAGAAGGACTCTTATGCATGGAGCTATTTAGCTAGTTTCACTAGTATTTGTTGAAGCTGTGCTCTTTATTGCTTATATTGTCAGTGTTCAATAACAGGATCATGAGGAGAATGTTTGGATGTGAGATGGGGAGGTAGTGGGGGGGTGGGGGTGGGGACATTTGCATAGTTTGTACTGTTCATCTAATATTGACAGTATGGTAAGAAGTTGGAAAAGGTAGAAATGCATACACATTTTAGAAAGGAACAATGGAGGAAAGAGATCACTGGAGATCCATGTGTATTTTTTGGGATAACATTAAAATTGATCTAGTTAAACCTAGTGTTAAGGGTGTGGAATAGATGTAACTGGCTGAGGATAGGGCCTAATGGCAGGCTTTAATGAAAATGTTAATGTACCTTTGAGTTTTATAAAGGTGAGGAATATCTTTATTAGCTGAATAATTATAAAATTTCTTGGGGGAGAATGTTTAGAAACCAGTGACATGAAGAATGGGAGACATTGTATAATAAATTGTATTCTAACGTAATATTGTTAGAGGAATTAAATGAAGAATTTAATGGGCAGGACATATAATATGGAAGCAGAAACCAAGGTGTGTGTATATAATTTTGATTGAAGAATCTCATGAAAAATAAAGTGTGGAGCTTTAGAGGTAAAAGGACAGTATTACAGTGGGTTGAATTGTAGGTTGTGGAAATTTTATTAAAACATCACAGAACAGGGTGTAATTGTAGGCTCTTTTGAGCACAGTAATGAACCTCATATTTCTTAAAACAGGGTATTTTTGGTTATGAGCCATGACCACTCCAGTTTTCTTTTATAGTGCTAACTTTCAAGAGACGTAGATGTTTCTTTATGGACTTTCAATAAATCTCCTTTTCCAAATTTAATCAGAATCTATTAAATGCTTTAAGAAGTGGGCTGCACATAATACCATGCACAAATGAATGAGAGCAGACTCAGAGCAAGCTTGCAGTTGTTTGACTGACTTTCAGGATGTGATAAAACATATTCAAGCTTTCATATCTGATTTTTGGGAATAAATTCTAGTGTCATGGGACTGTACAACTTTGTGTTTGTCATAATTTCAGTACTTCAAGGAAAGATACTTTTCATATGGAAAGTAGGTTTATAAGTATCTCATTAATTTTCACAAAATTATAACAAAAACCTAACACCATTTTATTCCTGTTCTTCCCATTTGTCAACGTTGTTTCTATTTGGAATTAGGCAACCTGCATGATCTGAAGTCATTGTTAGCACATTTTTGCAACTATGAGAACCAAGGGCTTTGTTAGAACACATTGTTGCAACAGTGTGAACCAAGGCTATTGATAGCTCAATTTGTTGTACACAGATCACATTTTGTAAGAATGACCTGTATACCATTGTTGCATTTGCTGTTCCTTTGACTGCTCTGCAACTTTGAAGCCCATGATTTGTGAAGAATGCCTAGGAATTTCAGTGTACTCCAAAGAGTACACCCGTATAATCTTGTTGAATATTTATTCGCTTTGCCTGCAGTCTAGTGTTTTCTTACATTGGATATATATGTAACTGTTCTGATATTTCGATGTTTTACAGAACATGGTATTTGTAATTAGTTTTCTTCATACATGTAGGAACAGACACCCAGGAAACAAACCCTGAAGATTGTTAGAATATCTAATGGACAGTGAAAGAGATCATCCAGACGCAGTACTTTCTGTGGTTAGAATTTTATAATCACTGGGCATTTGGAATTATTATTATTTATAGTGATATTTTGAAGAATCACTCAAAGCTAAATATTTAAAAAATCACAAATCAGTCGTGCTGTTGGTGTTATAGTTAATTTTTTTGTTACCAAACTTTTACCTAATTGAAAAGTACAGTAACAAACAGAAATTAAATTGAGAGGTGATCTGGAAATATCTATTATTATTATTATTATCATCATCATCATCATTTCTGAAAAAGTTATCATGCTTAAGCTGTAGGTCCCTGTGCCAATCAGCACCTATCCTAAGGGTGCAAAATCATCTGACAAATGCGCATTAAAACAAGTGGAAGATTAACATTGTAAAGTTAGTGATTTTCCATCCAGTTCCTTTTGCTGACAATCTGTGAGTAGCTTTTATGGAAAATGATATGGTAGATACTCTAAGATGTGTAACAAAACTAATCACTTAATAATTTATTTGTTTCTATAAATACCAGTACATATAACCATAGAAAATAAGTTACTCTTACTCTGTTTATTAAAATGAAAAAGGCCTACTAAGTGACATAGTCATACAATATCAAAGGATCAAAAAAATCAGAACATTGTTGTATCTTATCAACTCTGTTGCTGCCTTTGGTATTGACTTTGGGATTTCTTAGTAAAAAATTAAATTAGTACCATATACAATATTGAGAAAATAAATAAATAGCAAAAATGCAATAATATAAAGTTGAGGCATCACCACAAAATATTTAAAAATCTATTATGCTAAAACCTTTTTCTAATGGAAGTCTTTAAAGTACGCAGTAGTATACCATCCCCCAAAACAACATTCATCTGAGCAACATGAACGTATCGACATTTGTCAGCTTGTCACAGACAGTGGATCACTGGATTAAGTAGCAGTGCCAATGTACTCTGGTTTCCACAGCTGATTTAGGAAGAAGTTGTGAACAAGAGCAATGTCTTTATCAGGGGCTTTCAATGAGATCGGGATCATTGGCGGGGGATCCCGTTTCCGTCTCAAGTCGATTGGTTCACTGACAGGCTCTTGGTCTTGTGTGCGGCTTGGTGTGCCTGATGGACATTCCGGTCGGGTTTGAGGAGTGATACCATATTGGCATATAAGCTTTTCACGTTGAAGACGGACCCGTTTTTCAGTGATAGCATATACATGCATGAATGCTTTCTGGCAAACCTCCACAGTCCGAACTCCATGTGGATTTGCAGCTGAAAAGTTGAATGACACATTAAGCGTGTACATTTTCTTAGAAAAATTACCAGACATATATGCAAAGAAAAAAATAATAAAAATTAAAAAGTTAAAGACCATTATGATAAGACAGTGAGATACTATCCCTAAATTTCGTTTCTGTAGTGTTGACAGCTTAATTATGTGACTAGGATTGGTAGGTACCTTGGATTCATTATGCATCTGTTTTCAAATTATAGAACATGACTTACCAGATTCAGTTGGTGGACCTGCATCAGTTAAAAGTGGGATGTGGTATTTACAGCTAACTCTTCTCTGGTTCCTTCCTGGTACTTTATGGTCTGAAGATCTTCGTTGCACAGCCCTTGTCTCGATGTGTGCCATAAGGAACTCATTCTGTAGTGCATGGTCTCCTAATCTGTAAAACTCTGCAAACAATTTTCGGCGGACTTCTTGGTGTACTTTATCTCCGCATCGCTGGGGGCACTGGCACAACACATCTGAATCACAGAAATGAAGACAATGGCTTTATGACATATTACTTTTACAGTTACACTATGTAACCTATTTTGGAATATATAAGGGCAGCATTTTACTTTGTATCCTATAAAATGACAGTATACATGTCACTTGCCATTCAGCAAAACCCTACTAACATACAGTATTATATACAGGTTATCGACAAGGACGGATGTTCGTATGTTATTCCTTTTGGGTCATAATTAGGACCTCCGTGAATATTCAATTTTCTTTATGTTTTAAATTATACTTACCTGGTTGTTTCTTCGCTGGAATTATTTTTCCAGATCTTGAAACATATTCCTGCCCTGTATTTCGTAACTTCTTCTGCAACTTTCTCTCTGATCTTGGCCAAAAGTTTGTTGTTTTGCTTTGTGTCATATTTTCTGAAGTCTCCATTTCAGACGCCATCTTAATAACATCCGCTCCAACTTCTGTGAAAAAAATGTCCTAAATATGGTGCAGCCACCTATCGGACAACACACGAACTAGATCGGTGAAGTTACGAATGTCGTCGTGCGCTGCCGCTACCAGTGCATACGAAGAAGGAAGCTGAGTACATTCTGTTCCGTATTGCTACTTACCCGCTTCGAAAAATCTCTTTTAAAGATGAGAAAAGTATGCCAAACTACATAGTGCATTTACAGTATTTATGGACTTAATTAATTATGATGTCATGTCCTTGTCTATCGGTATCATGAAACTTGGTATTCGAGTTTTATAGTGTGCCCTTAATAACTTAACTAATTGACTTTCAGAGGTTGGTCTTGGCATAATGCTACTAGAGACTACGTCTTCCTGTTTTAGTAATACTAACATGGAAGAAGTAATAAACAGATCACCATTCTGCTAGCCACATAATAAATTTCAGGACAGGGTTTGGTACTGTCGCATTTGGTGAGACCTGACATAAAATGCTGCATGCATCTGGTATATAGGGGCTGATGCATGATTTATTATTGTTATACAATATGATAATGCTGCAGAGCAGTTAGATGCCATGAAATTGATCGTTGTGAGGAAGTGTCCAGTTTTTAACGCATTGAGGGTGTTTCAGTGATTAACTCATTTCTTGGAATTTCGTAGTCTGCTCTTTATGATACCAGAACTAGTGCACTGTGCGTTGCTGCTATTGAGTTCATACATTTTTCAGACCTTTATGCACGCTATATTATCTATTGACAAAAAACACATTGACAAATATTATTATTATTAACAAATCGCTTGATAATATAATGCAACACCTTTCTTATAGTTAGACATGTTGTCTAGTAATTCCCATGTCACTGACCTGCTAAAGGGTCAATGGAATGCCAGAAAATTGAACAGAGTGGAAGGTGCTTGTAGAAAGACAGGCAATGTCAAAATTCTTGCAAAGTGCTTACAAGGTACAAATTATAACAAAGTCATGGTATTTATTATATGCTTCAATACATATATAGTTCACCATTGAATTTCAAGTGACATTTGATGCTAGTGTTTAAAAAAAATTGCTCCTGTTGCTAGGTTCATATATTTTCCCTAACATCACGATTTTACACATCTTGATACTGTGTTTTTTCCCTCAATACGAGACATCAAGTTTCACGCCCATGCAATACAACAGGTGAGTCAGTTGTATACCATTAATGTTCAGAATCTGGTGCGCCCAGCTGGTGCAGTTCTGCGCTGCGGGCTGGGCGACCGGGGTTCGAATTCCAGCCACCACGTCGAGACTTATTCTGGGGACCACCGAGCCCCCTGTTCACTAGATACAGGGGGTTTTCCTTGGGGGTAAAACTGCAGGCGCGTGAAGCTAACTTCTCATCTGCACCTGATGCAAAGGTTAACTTGAACCTGTGCTTAGTTAAATATCATGGACAACTTTACTACACACTTGGTGTGTAAATGTTAGTGTTGTGTTTTGAGATGTGACACGGCAAGATAAAAGACTGGACTGAATGTTAGGTATTTGCTGAATTTAATCTGATTTTATTTTTCTCATGAGAAACACGCGTAATTTTGATTTGTTACTGCCATTTCCAAATGTTTTAACTTGTTGCTTTAAAGATAGCTGATACCCATTTTGATATTATTTGTGGTATTTCGTTTTGTCGAGTTATATGCATCATATGATATTAATATGCTTACGAACAGCTGCTACCGGAATTTTGTTTGTATGCCAACTGACTGGCATCGCGTTAAATATAGAAAATCTTAATATAGGCACACTCATCCGTGGTTTGAAACACGACTGAAGCTTTTCTCAGTTTCATGAAATTGTTGCTGCATGCACGATTGATTGATTGATTTCTATAAAGCCGTGTTTCTTGATCATTTTTATCTCCCGTTTCTGACCGATCTTTTAAAATCCTAACGCACGGTTTTTTTCCAAAAATAAGTTTTAAGGTAATCATCTTACGAAAATCATAATTGCTAACATAACTAATTCAGAGCTTAAGCGTAAGGCATATTTTTCGATTCTCTTTTCCCACAATCATGCGCAAATGTGAATTTCATTGAAACACTTAAATTTTATTTTATTTAAATATAAAACAGCGGTACACAAGTAGTTATTTAACATACATTTGGAACTTAAAATAGGGACATGGCCTACTTTAATTTATTTATAGTTAATTTGACGAGATACTAGAGAAAAAATGGGAGTTCCATCAATTATTTATAGATTTCAAAAAAACATATTACTGTTAAGAGAGAGGTACTATACAATATTCTCGTTGAATTTGGTGTACCAAAGAAGTTAGTGAGTCTAGTAAAAATGTACTTAAGAGAAACCTGTAGCAAAATTCGTATAGGTAAATATTTATCAGACTCATTTTCCATCAAGAACGGTCTGAAATAAGGATTTGCTTTGTCTCCATTGCTCTGTAACTTTGCGTTAGAACACGCCATCAGGAATGTCCAAGATAGGCAGGAGGGTTTGCAATTGAATGGGGCACATCAGCTATTGGCATATGCTGATGATGTTGATTTATTGGGTGACGATGTAAATACAATAAAGAGGAACACGGAAGGTTTACTAGAAGCGAGTAGAAAAGTGAGGCTAGAAGTAAATTCAGAAAAAAACTAAGTACATGTTAGTATCCCGTACGCAGACAGGCGGAGAAAATCATGTTAGGGTGGTTATTAAATCCTTGAAAGTGTTATAAAGTTCAAATATTAGGGAACAGCTATAACAGATCAAAATGATACTCATGAGGAAATTAGGAGACTAAATTCTGAAAATGCTTGCTACTTTTCAGCTCAAAATATTTTGTCTTCCCGTCTGATTTCTAAGAACCCGAAGATTAAAATATACAAAAATAAATCTGCCTGTTGTTTTGTATGGGTGTGAAACATGGTCTCTCACTCTGAGGGAGGAACATAGATTGCAAGTGTTTGAGGATATTTGGGCTTAGGAGAGAAGACGGTGTGGAATGGAGAAAGCTAAATAATGATGAACTTAAAAATGTATACTTCTTCCCAGTTGTTGTCAGGGTGATTAAGTCGAGAAGAATGAGATGGGCTGGGCATGTAGCGCGCATGGATGGGACAAGAGGTGTGCACCAGGTATTGGTTGGGATGTCTGAGGGAAGAGACCGCTGGGGAGACCTAGACGTCGATGGGAGGATAATGTCAGGCGCGATCTATGGGAGATAGGAGTTGAAGGAGACTGGATCCAGGACAGGGTTCGGTGGAGGGCTTTGGTTAGTTCGGTGATGAACCTTCGGGTTCCGTAAGCCATCTAGTTAGTTAGTTAGTTGGTTAGTTATAGTTCATTTGACGATGCTTTTTCATTAACTCGGCTGTATAGTGTCGAATGATAGGATGATAGTGAATAATGAACTGGAAAGTATGTGGAAGGAAGTAGTCGTGATACTGGAGGGACTGAGGAAAGTCACGAAATACATCAATCAGGATAGCCGGTTTCTGGCCCGAGATTTGAACCCGAATACGAAGTAGGAGTGATACCCACTCGACCACGACGTTCGGTTGCCTGCTGTAGGGGAAGATGGTGTTTAAGAATATGGAATACTGAGGGGAATATCAGATCCTAAGAGATAATTTAAGAAAAGAATGGAAACATTTGTATTGATTAGATATTATTAGAGGAATCATCAAGGAAGATGGTACGAAGGAGACATGTAGGATAAATAATTAAGCTGGGTGTGACGGTATGGACTTGATTCCACTCAGCATTGGATCCACTGGTGGAATTTTGTGAGCACGGTAATGTGTGTTTTTTTTTATAAAATGTAGATTACCTCGTTGACCAGCTGAGCGACTCCGTTTCTCGCAATAAAGAATTGCTCATTTAATGACCCGGCCGGTTCTTGCTACGAGGAACAGCAAAAGTGTAAGCCTGCTTTATGCGATGTTGTTGATAATAAAATCAAGTATCCTTGGTAATTTTATGACCCTGTATCTACTCTCCGCCCCCACCACCTCGCTTCTATTTTGTAGTTTGTGATGTGGAATTAGGGATTTGTTGCGAAAAGGGCATAGCTCCAGCCAGCTTTCCATTGCAAAGTCTTCCTAGGGCAGGTTGTAGTTACCAGTTCAATAAATTCGCCGCGTTACGTGACCCGTCTAGTTCTGTTCTGTCTCCATCTAGGGTTAGATCTCATAAGTTATTTTTCTTAATGTTTTCCAACCAAACTCTTTCTAATTTTTTCTGTATGTGCTGCATATTCCAACTACTACTATTCATGATATCACTTATCGTCGTAATAGTGCTAAGCGATGACTGCAAACTACTCATTGTTGTGTGATTTTCTCCGCAAAGAAACCATAATCGTTGGTGACCATGATTTAGCAACCACCTTCACCCCGGAACGAAATTAATTAACTAGGACGCTAATCCAGCCATAAGGCATAGAATCTGCAGAATGCAATTTCTATAATGCATTCACATAAATTAATATTTTGTTTCTTGACTCACTTAATGAAGCTCTGCCAAGTGCTTGAATTTGTAGCATCGAATGGTTTTGTAACTTTGAAGGGTTTGTTGGAAAATGTGTGAAAGAACGCGCTTTTGACGTGTTTGAAGGTACTACGCAGCATAGTATTTGCCCGTAGAGAAAAAGGAAAACCTCAGGATTAAGATTCAAATCTGAAGCTCCCGAATGCAGATGAAGAACTTTGATCACTGTATTATTACGTTTATTGGTTTATCGATTTTGAAAAAACTCACTTCGTCATGCACTGGTTATTCACTGCTGTAGGTACAACTAAACAAGTCACATGTATACGTGAACGTTTGCACGTAACTTCATAGTTTCGCTGCTATGAATCGCTCGCCAGAACCTGGTTATAGAAAACGGTGCAATGCGTGAAGATGCCGTCAAGGTACGAGAGAATTTCAGAAACACGACCTACCCCTCACCATTTACCTTGCCAGTTTTTCTTGTTTCCCAAAAGTAGCCAGCCTTTGTATGTTCAGGCCGACGTCACTTATTTACACAGCATTGTCACACTTA